ATATATATATATATATATAGCCTCCTTGGACAGACCTAAAATGCAGACACTTAGCACCCAAATGAGTTATGTAAGGATTAAATAAAAACATTCCAATAAGAGGCTTGGCACACAGTAAGAGCTTCATAAACACTCCCTCTCACTCGGGGGCCGGCTGGCAATCACACACAGCAATGAACTCTGCCCACACCTGAAAATCTACTCATAAGACCTTTTTTCCTTGAGTTTAAGGAAACGGGAGAACCTATGTCCTGAGAGGCAGTTACCGTGTCTAAATCATTTCGCTGCATTTGAGGAAAAAGCAAACATTTTCATTTTGCAGTGGATGATGGGCGCACGCCCAAGAAAATTACTCAGCCCTTGTTTTTCTCCTTTTGGGGTTTTCCTAGAATAGTTTCAGTCCAACTGCAATGAATCTCTAGATCCCATCACCATCGGTTTGGGCTTTGGGAAATCGACTAACCGCTCCACCCCGCAGACCACCGCTGGCCTCAGAAGCTGGATCAAAAGGGCGCAGCGCCGGGAAGGGGCGGACTCCGGAGTGGGGCGTTACGAAACCTTCGGGAACGGACGGCCACTCCTCGCAGGGGAGGGACCGAGGGCCGGGCCTCGTTCTCTAGAAGTCAAAGCACTGGATCCCAGAACTCAGTTCTCTGTGGCTTCTCTGTGTCCGAGCCTCCGCAGCGAGCTCCCTAGTGGCTCACAGCCCGGGCCGCTCTCCACGCGCCAAGTGCCTTCCCCGGCCATGTCGTCCTGCAGCCGCGTGGCGCTGGTGACCGGGGCCAACAAAGGCATCGGCTTCGCCATCGCGCGCGACCTGTGCCGGCAATTTTCGGGGGACGTGGTGCTCACGGCGCGGGACGCGGCGCGGGGCCGGGCAGCAGTGCAGCAGCTCCAGGCCGAGGGCCTGAGCCCCCGCTTCCACCTGCTGGACATCGACGACCTGCAGAGCATCCGCGCCCTGCGCGACTTCCTGCGCAAGGAGTACGGGGGCCTCAACGTGCTGGTCAACAACGCGGGCATAGCCTTCCAGCGTAGGTCGGGGGTGGGTCTCTGGGGGCGCCAAGGGTTCGGGGCAGAGAGCCGCGGGCGCCCCCTTCCTGTGGGCTGGAGTGATCGCGGAGCGCAGCGCCGGCCCCTCGGGATACGCTCAACATTGGCCTCCCTCGGCGGCTTCTCGCTTTCCGCGGAGTCGCGGGAGCGGTTCGCTTAGCGTGAAGCTGGCGGGGCGCAGCCCTGGGCCCTCCCGGAGCCGTCGGCTGCTGCGGTTTGCCAGAAAACCGGCCTCCTGGGAGGGGGCCACGCCCTGCTAAGCTCATCAGCTTTCTGTGTAAAGCAAAAAACATTTTCCCTGCGAAGGGTCTCCAGCTCACTTTGGGCTTTCGCTTTCCTTGAAAGGGAGCTTTCATAGAAGCCCGGAGGCATCTGCTCGGGACAGGAAATGGATCGCTGAGACGCGATCAGCGCGCACTTGCACAATAGTGGACTTGAGATTTTGTTTAATGGAAAGCTTTGATAGGCTCAGCCAGAAAGGAAGCGAGCCTTGTTCCCTCCCCCAGGGAATTTGTATGTCATCAAACATACATTTTAAGTGTGATTTTAAGTAGCACCTTTGGCGGGGGGGGGGGGGGGGGGGGGGGGGGGGGGGGGGGGGGAGAGGTCAAGGATATTACTCTATTGATCTACTGAGAAAGTTGTTGAGCCGCCATGTGGTGGAGGTAGAAAGAATAACCAAGCCAGACTCACCTACAACCTAGTGGAGACGAGAAACCCAAGAGGCAGAACGGAGTAAAAACTGCCGTGAGGCCTTGAATGACCAGCCCCCCGGCTTGAACCCTCACCGAAGCTGTGCACCCGCACCTCCAACTCAGCGGGTCGGCTTTCCGGAAGCGCGGGTGGGAGGTGGCAGACACCCGCTGGTACAACCCTCAGCCACTGGCTGAAGGACTGATGGATAAATACGCCGCTTCCCGGACCAAGCGTGCAGGAACGCGGGTCCGCTGGCAGCCCTTGCCCCCTCAAAAGTGTGGGCGGTGGACCAACAGCACGTGCAGCCCCAGGCACTCGCTGGAATCGCAGGATCTCGGGCCTCACCCCACACCCGCTGAATCAGAATTTGCATTTTAACAGGATTGCCAGGTGCCTCCCATACCCTTTCAAGATTGAGCGGCAGCCCTGAAAGCCAGGAATTCTCAAAGTGGGGCCAGACCTGTAGCTGTAGCGTCGTCACCCGAGAACGCGTTAAAAATGCAAATTTTGGAGCCCCACCCGAGACCTTCTCAATCCCAAACTCTGGGGGCGGAGCCCAGAAAGCTGTGTTTTAACAGGCCCTGCAGGTGATTCAGATACACACACCCTTGACGCTCGGATCCGGTGGCTTCAAAATCGTTTTAAAGTTAGCTTGTTTTAGGGGCGCCTGGGTGGCTCAGTTGGTTGAGGCTGGGCCTTCAGCTCAGGTCATGACCTCGGGGTTCGTGACTTCAGCCCCGCGTCGAGCTCTGTGCTGACAGCTCGGAGCCTGGAGCCTGCTTCGGAGTCTGTCTCCCTCTCTCTCTGCCCTCCCCCACTCAAGCTCTGTCTCTCTCAAAAATAAACTACAAAAATATAATAATAAAGTTAGCTAGTTTTTCCTTTAATTAGAGATAAAATCTAGGGCGCCTGGCTAGCTCTGTCCGTAGAGCATGAGGTTCTTGATCTTGGGGTTGTGAGTTCCAGCCCCACCTTCCGTGCAGAGATTGCTTAAATAAACTTGAGAGAGAGATAAGATTCACTTTGTTATATACATTTCAAGGGGAAATGCATGACTTTGTTTTCTTCTCTTTTCGGAAGCTGATGATCCAACACCCTTTGACATTCGAGCTGAGATAACACTGAAGACAAACTTTTTTGCCACAAGGAATGTCTGCATAGAATTACTGCCAATAATAAAACCTCATGGTAAGTCCAGCCATATGTCTGCCCCTCCCCTGCTCATTCTCATTCTCTCTCTCTCTCTCTCTCTCTCTCTGTCTCAAAAATAAAAATAAAAATAAAAAAAGATGTATAATGGGGCGCCTGGGTGGCTCAGCTGGTTGAGCATCCCGATTCTTGATCTCAGCTCAGGTCTTGATCTCAGGGTCATGAGTTCAAGCCCCAGTTTGGGCTCCAAGCTGGGCGTGAAGCCTACTTAAAAATAAAATAAAAGATATGTTTGATACATGGCAGTGCTCTTTGGTCCCATGATATGAACTCAACCCTAGAATAATAGGTGTTACAAGTCCCCAAAGGCCTCTTGCCTTTGAGCAACCTCAGTGGGTCCTTCTCAGCTCCTCAGGGTGGTGGGGCCACACCAGCTCATTTGGGAGCCTGGCAGGGAAGGATCTGTTTTAGCATCATTATGACTTTCCCTGTGTTCCTTTCTTCACTTTGTCAAGCTAATGAAGAACCTCCCGAAGAAATATTTCTTTATTAGGAAGTATCTTGCCCACACTCCCAAGTATTCAATAACTTTTATTACTTTTTCCACAAATACTAGAGGGCCTACCATAACTCAGGGTGCTGGGGACACAGTGGTAAGCGCTGTGAACAGGGACAATCCTGACCATGGAGCACTGAGTCCAGTGGACAAGACCCTCATTGACAAAGAATCCTACAACTGTACTGGGAGGGGGCAGAGAAGGCTCGCTTCCTTGACAATTCTCTTTCCCAGGAAGGCAGCTGTGATTCTTAGGAAGAAAAACTCTGTGGTTCTTATAAGAAATGTGCTTTTCTTGGGGTGCCTGGGTGGCTCAGTCGGTTGAGCATCTGACTGTTGATTTCAGCTTGGTCTTGATCCCAGGGTCATGGGGTCGGAGCCCCGCATTGGGCTCTGTGCTGAGTGTGGAACCTGCTTAAGATTCTCTCTCTCTCTCTCTCTCTCTCTCTCCCCCCTCTCCCTCTCCCTCTCCCCAGCTCATGCTTGCTGTCTCCCCAAAAAAAGAAAAAAAAGTGCTTTTCTTAATTTAACATTTTGAATAAAGATGATCTCTAGTGCAAAAATCTTAAAATCTAAAAAGATGTTTGGTGAGAGCTGCACTCAGACTCATGCTCCCCCACTTGCCCAATTCCTGTCCCCAGCCTCTACAGGCAATTCCCTTTGTCTTTTCCTAGTGGGATGAGATCACAGAAAGCCCTCAGGCAGAGTTGCTGGGACTGGCTGAAGGAAGCCTTGGTTCTAGGTGCGTGGAGTTGCTGAGTGCTCAGGGCCAAGGGCATAGTTTTTAAATGCAAATCTAAGTTATGTATGTGTGTGTGTGTATCCCTTTTTTACATAATGGGAACATTAAGCATAATGTTTGCTACTATGCTTTTTTTCACTATCTCTGGGACTCTTTCTAGATCAAGACAGAAAGCTTTCTTATTTTTTTTTACAGTTGCATAGTATTCCATTTGCAAGGGTGATGTCTACCAAGTGTCTAGAAGTCTTTTCTCTGTATGGGTTTTAGAATCCTAGAATTGGAAAACTACAAGGTATTGAAGAAACTTGACATTCCTATGACTTCATTTTACAGAGAAGGAAATTGAGACCCAAAGACATGAACGCAGTCAGGTAGTGATAGATCTGGAAACAGTGTTCAGGTTTCCTGACTTCACCCCTCAATCAAATCAGGATAATTAGTTCCAGTGAAGGGAAGGATCTTAACACCAAACAATTGCAAACCAAGCCATTTTGAAAGATGAAAGGCAGCTTGGAGGAGGGTGGAGCTCGGGCATCAACCCAGAAGCAGATGAATCACTGGCTTCAACCAGTTCTCTGTAACAGTAATTCCCAACTTGGGAATCTGGTTTACAACACATTGAGAATACTTGTGAATTTTCAGTAAAACTCACGTTTACCCAGAAGGCAAAAAGCGAGGATCCTTGCCTCTTGATTTGTAGGGAATCTCTACCCATGCAAAACTGACTTAAATGTCACATTTGATTTGGCTTTATAATACCTCCTTATTTAAAAAAAAATTTTTTTTAATGTTTGTTCGTTTTTGATGGACAGGGTGTGAGCAGGGGCGGGGCAGAGAGAGAGGGAGACGCAGAATCTGAAGCAGGCTCCAGGCTGTCAGTACAGAGGCTGAAGCCTGGCTTGAACCTACGAGCTGTGAGATCATGACCTAGGCCGAAGTCGGACGCTTAACCGAATAGAGCCACCCAGGTGCCCCTATAATACCTCTTTAAAAGAAAGTTACCTCTGGGACCCCTGGGTGGCTCAGTGGGTTAAGTGTCTGACTTCAGCTCAGGTCATGATCTCACGGTTAGTGGGTTCCAGCCCTGCTTCAGGCTCTGTGCTGACAGCTCCAAGCCTGGAGCCTGTTTCAGATTCTGTGTCTCCCTCTCCCGCTGGCACTTGGTGTGTATCTCTCTCAAAAAATTTTTTTAAGTTACCAAACCTTTTGCTTGTTCATTCAAGATTCTGAGTAAATAAGTTAATCCAACGTTTACCCACTAGGGGGAGCTACTTGTCCACTCTTTCTAAGAATGGCTAGGGGTTGTTTCAGGACCAGGGGGCCCACCTGGACCTCAGCAAATGGTGGTGGTTGTGTGGGTGCAGCCCTTCTCAGGACTGATTGCACCCAGCTGGCTGCTGAGATGGTCATCCCTTGGCCTCACTGATGATCACCTGAGATGTCACCTGAGATCAGAGGACACCTCTGACTCTTAGAAAGTTTATTTCTACCAAAGGCAAAGAGTAGCACCCCTATTTCATTTTTCTTTCTTCCTTTACCCTTTTGAATTTAATTCCTTGTAGCAACCAGGCGATTAAGAACAAATTTGTTTAGGGTGCCTGGGTGGCCCAGTTGATTAGGTGTCTGACTCTTGATGTCTGCTTGGATCTCCATCTCAGGGTTGTGAGTTCAAGCCCATGCTGGTTTAAAAAAAAAGGGGGGGGGGGAAGGGCGCCTGGGTGGCTCAGTCGGTTAAGCGTCCGACTTTGGCTCAGGTCGTGATCTCATGGTCTGTGAGTTCGAGCCCCGCGTCGGGCTCTGTGCTGACAGCTCAGAGCCTGGAGCCTGCTTCAGATTCTGTGTCTCCCTCTCTCTCTGACCCTCCCCCACTCCTGCTCTGTCTCTCTCTGTCTCAAAAATAAATAAACGTTAAAAAAAAAAACAAAGCTGCTTAAAAGTAATGAAGAACACAACTTCATCAAAGTAGTATTCCTGGCCAAAGCATTGAAGTGAATCTAATTGGAAAACCATGCTAGTCCAAATGGGAGAAATACTACAAAATAATAGCCTACAGTCTTCAAAAAGATCATTGTTAACTACTCTAGGTTAAAACTAAAGAGCTATGACTGCTAAATACAATCCGCGATCCTACGTTGGAGCCTGGATGAAAACAAAAACTATGAAGAAAGATTATTGAGATAATTGGACCCTTTGAATATGGACTGTACTTCAGATAATAGTGTTATATCATGATAAATGTCTTGAGGGTGATCACTCTTGTGGTTATGTAAGGTAATACCCTTGTTACCGTATATAAAGTGCTTAGGGCAAAGTTTTATACTTGTCTGCAATTAAGACAAAGAGAAAGCAAATGTGGCCAAATGTTAATAATTGAGGGGCTTAGGTGAAGGGCATACGGGTATGTATTGAACTATTCTTGCAATTTCTCTGTAGGCTTCAAATTTTTCACAGTTCAAAGTTGGGAAGGAAATATGTATTACAAGAGAGGAAGAAAATACTGAAGAGTCTTAGGTACCTGGGGATAAGTGAGTGCTCATATTCAAGACAGAGTGAGGCCATCTCTGTGTGCAGTTGGCCCACAAAGATATCTAGTAGAATGTACAACACATACACCCCCAACCCCATGGTGAATGAATGCCACTCAGAAAATGCAATAAAATCCAGCTATCCTAGTGGATACAGAAAGAGTGGATTCGGGATAATATGTAAGAAAAGAACCCCCTAAATGTGGTGTCTTTTTTTTTTTTTTTATGTTTATTCATTTTTGAGAGTGAGAATGAGTGGGGGAGGGGCAGTGAGAGAAGGGGACAGAGGATCCGAAGTGGGCTTTGTGCTGACAGCAGACAGCTCCATGTGGGGCTCGAACTCATGAACCATGAGATCATGACCTGAACTGAAGTCGGACACTCAACCGACTGAGCCACCCAGGTAACGCAACGTGGTGTCTTCTGATGTTAGGTGAACTGTGTAAATTCACACACTGGTTTTGGGATTTCCAATCAATGTTTCCAGCCGTCTTCTAGTTTCTGGCCTGCATGTTTTTTCATAGACATAACCGTCTTTTTAATAGCCGTGAATTATGGTTAATGTGAATATTAACTCATTAATTATATTTAATTATTAATGATGGGCTAAAGAAAGTGAAGAAAATCAAAACTGGGATGGAGAATCAACCCACTCCATGTGTGAGAGTACCCATCATTCAGGATAGACAGGGTCATCGTAAGGCATTGCTTGACCCTGATATTTGGCAGTTGGAGGCAAAGAGGTGGTGCCCAGGGCCCTAGGAAATTGTGCAAACCAGTAAACAGCTTTAATCCTTGGGGTGAGGGTGCTGTCTCTGGGAAACCAAGTTCACAGGCGCCTGGAGTGTTTGTGTGTGTGTAGTGGGATGTTTTATAAAACTGCCCACTGGAGAATCACTGCCCTTTAGCCCCTGTTACTGATGGAAATGCGTCCTTTCCTTTGGGGGAGGAGAGCACAAAATAATGTTAAAGCCCCCTGGGTCCCTTCTAGAGTCTTTTTTTTTTTTTTTTTTTAACCAGCAATTAAACCTGCAGTATCAATCAATTGCATGTTGGGTATAGTCACCCAACAATCGTTTATCTGTGACCTGCTTCCATATATTTACTATTCTGTTTCAGGCAGGGTGGTGAATATCAGCAGTTTAGAGGGCTCCAAAGCTCTTGAAAATTGCAGCCCAGATCTACAGAAGAAGTTCCGATGCGAGACACTCACAGAAGGGGACCTGGTGGACCTCATGAAAAAGTTTGTGGAGGATGCAAACAATGAAGTGCACGAGAGGGAAGGCTGGCCCAACTCGGCTTATGGGGTGTCCAAGCTGGGGGTCACGGTCTTATCAAGGATCTTGGCCCGGCGTCTGGATGAGAAGAGAAAAGCGGACAGGATTCTGCTGAACGCTTGCTGCCCGGGGTGGGTAAAAACGGACCTGGGTGGGCCTTGTGGCCCCAGGACTGTGGAGGAGGGAGCTGAGACCCCTGTCTACTTGGCCCTCCTGCCTCCAGATGCTACCGAGCCTCATGGCCAGCTAGTCCATGACAAAGTCGTCCAAAACTGGTGAATGTCTGCTTTGGTGCTTAATGCTTAATAAACATTTGTGGAGTGAATGAGTGAATTCTGGCGGTGTAGTCGGCTTCATTTTCTGTGGACTAGAATCTCCCTGTGAGAAAGAGGGTCTCGTCTAGAATCGGGCTGAGAGATTTTATTGTGCCCAGACTCTAACCTGAGATGGAGAAGAACCTGGTCCAGTGGTTCTCCAGTGTCAGAGGGCATCACAATTACCTGGAGGGCATGTTAAAACATTGCTCAGAACTGGGGCGCAAAGATGTGCACTTCTGACCAGTTCCTGGGTGCTGCTGGTGGTGGTCGAAGGAGAGCCCTCAGGGCTACGGAGCGGGCTGCAGCCGTGTTCCAGCAATCCCATGCTGTTTCTAGGTTGTTGACTCTTCGAGGATGTGATTCCTCCTCCATTTCTATTGTTCTGCAATCCTGCTTTGTACCACATTCTGTTTCATTATATTTGGGCACATTTGAACGGGTTCTTATGAAGCAGTATGGCTTGAAGGAAGGACTCAGGAGGAATGTCCTTTTTTTCCACTGGGATACGATTTCTTCCATACTGGGTTTTTCACTTGGGGTTTTGCATTCTGTGTTCCCAGAATGTTTGCAAAGTTGCCCTGCCCCTTCTTTCAAATTGTCCCGGCACAGGCAACTTTGTGCAGACCATCTCTGCTCTCGCAGAGGCAGATGTCTTCTCCCTGACCTGTTCCTGCTCCGCTACAGCCCAGGGTGATTCTTGAGCCTTCCTGGGCCTTCTGTAGTCTCTCCGACAACCAACTCCACGTTCACTGCTTCCAAATGGGACTGGCTTTGTAATCAGCCCCCTTGGTTCTGGTTATACCCTGTAGAAGAAGGACTTGGAGACTAAAGAATCTTACGAAAGAGACGTACACTTGTGAGGCAAGTTTGCTAGGGCGTCAAGACCTCAGAAGGAATGGCTAGCCAAACAACAGAAATGCAACAGGTGCAAGATGGACAAATGACAAAGGAAAGAAACCACAAATTTACCAAGTTTATGATGGGTTGTTCACGGTGAGATACAGCAATGTTGTCACCTGATCATGACCACAAAGGTCACATCATATCACCTGACAACAGCATTGCAGAAATAAGATGATGCTGGCTTCCATTTGATAACAAGTACAGTATGGGAGTACTCAAGATTTCCCTCATTTGGTGGACCAGGACTACTCAGGTAACCCTGTTACGTCTGGTCTGTCACAGCGTGCAAACTGTTTCTTCGTCTTGACTCTCCCAACGTAACGACGGCAGCATGGCAAAGTGTCGTGTAGCTCCTGACAACCCACACCTCACTTCTTCATCCACTTTGGGTGGAGGACATCTGAATCCCACCCAGATTACATCTCACTTCCTTTAGCCATCTCTATATTGCCTGACTAAACCCAGCTTGCTCTTACATTCATCTCAGACCGTAGCTCCTAGGACATTTTTAATGCCTTCGTGTCTGGCTCTAAAAACATTTTGATGGTTTTCAATATGTTGCCTCAATAGCTTTCATACTCTGGTCTCCCTCTGCAGCCAGCCTCCAGAACGCTGCCAATGGCAGGCAAGAGGTCTGGGACCATGGAGCACTTTTAGGTTCTGCCTAATAGGGTCACAGACAGGAAATGCACAAGTAAACAGGCCATTTCCTTTTATTTCTTCTCCCTTTTTTCTCTCTAGCCAATCACCTTGACATCTTGGGATCAGTGTGTAGCCTGCTTAAAAGACCCTTGGTGGTAAACTGCTGACCAGAACGGTGTGTCTCATTTTTTTATGGAAAGGTCATAGGGGACGATTATTGGATGGTCTGCCCAGCACCCTCCCCCGCTGCTTCCTCCCATGTTTGCAGCTGCAACAGCCACAAAGTGACTTTGCCCTGCTAGCCTCTGTTGACTGTTCCAGCTGTAAGCCTGTCTTCTAAAGAGGAGGAGCAGCTGGACTGCATCAGGAAAAGCTCCGAGCTGTTACTGTGAGTGGCCATGCCTCACACCATATGGTTGAGGAAGCAGAGGGAACCAAGCATAGCCTGAAAAGGAAGCAACCAATTCTTGAGGGACGCACTTACAAAATGGCCCCAAGAGAGACTGTCCCACCTCCCCAGAGTGGCATCCCTTAGCTGGCCTCAGGCTATTCCTTTCGTTTTATTTTAGAGAGAGATTGAGAGCATGAGTGGGGGAGAGAAGCAGAGAGAACGTTAAGCAGGCTCCATCTTTAGCACAGAGCCTGAAGCGGGGCTCGATCCCACGACCCTGGGATCATGACCTGAGTCAAAATCAAGAGTCAGATGCTCAACTGACTGAGCCACCCAGGCGCCCAAGAAATGTCACTTTCCTTAAGCTAGTTTGAATTATGTTATTGCTTGAAACGAAAAGGAACCTAATACATGTGCATGAAATATTTCATTGTGGGCTGTAGTGAAAAAAAAAAAATTGGGCTTAGAATCAGAAGGGAAAAAAGAAAAAAATTCATGAGTTGAGAACCATGGCATACGAGGCCATACATCATGCTCAATATTTACCCTACATTGTTTTATGTATTTCTCATGGCAGTTCTTTGAGATAGGTATTAATATCATTTAAATGAGTCATTATCATTCAAATAAGGAAAAAAGTCTTGGAGAAATTGACTAACTTGCCCAAGATCACACAGCTAAGAGCCAAGAGCCAGGATCATATCCAGGACTAAGGCCAGTTCCTTGGCTTTTCTTGGTGCCAAGTGCTTGGCACATCCAACTTCACTATGAGGAGTCTAGAGACCAGGGCAACTCCCTCGGTGTAAAAATTAAGGGGGATGATATATCAAATCTAAGTGATTTGTAAGCCATATGGTTATTAGATCCCTAACATAGCCTTTGTATGAACTTTTCCATAAGGTAGGCAAATGAAATATGGTTTAAAAGTGGCATATTTTAAATGGATTGTCCCATTATGTGTGTTTCTTAGGTACCAAATTGAGCCAGTAACCCCCTCTGAATCAACGTCTCTGTGACATACTTTCCTAAGTTGACACGTGTGTTAAGCCCGCATACAGAATCAGCTGTAGGCCTGGCCTTTGGGCTTCTCCCTCACCTACTGAGCTGCAACAAGGATTGTGACAGACCGAGATGCTGAACGGTGATGTAGTGTGGAGATGAAATGGGTGATAATGACGATCCTGACAAAGGTTTACTTGTTACTGCAAGTCAACCACAAAGCAGGCACAACATCAAATACAGAACTAAGCAGGACTTTAGATGGGATGGAGTAGAATCCAGTTTATAGCAAAGACAGGGTTAGAGGATTACCAGTATTTGCATATGGAAACTCTGAACGTGTTTACCTCCCCAATCTCTCTACTAGGTAGGCCAGCCTGAGCCAGAGAATGTAGTCACCTCTCATTTATAACCCCTTCTTTATTATCAGAAGGGGTAAGGATTAAGGTTCTGATTCAAATGAACTCTGAAATGCTCTGATTAGAACATTATTATGTGAGGAACCTGCTCTATTTATATGCCTTAAACAGATGAATACACCTAAGTAGACTTTGAAGAGTGATGACCTGACCCACGAAAACAGAATTTGTGGGGGAATAAACTTTCAAATCTTAATACTTGTACATTGACTATCAATCCCGATTATCAATGAAGTTGTTCTTTTAAGGGTTTATGATACTTCAAACTGTCAAAGCGAATTTAACTTTCCACACACCTGGATTTCTTTAGAGATAGGTGACACAAAAAGGTCCTAAAATTGACCGTTAGAGAATTGACATCTGGGGCCCTTGGTGTATGGCAAATGTAGATAGAATCAGAATCAGAAGCCTGGGTGGGCCAGGGGTGGGTTCAGCATCACAAGCTATAAATATATTCTTGGTGATTTGGGAGAGGTGGCAGATCCCTTTGGGAATCTGACACAAACTATATACCCTTTTGCAGAAACATATACGCAAAATGTTCTGTACAATTTTGAAGTGTGCATGGACCTCTGAACTCTTTCATGACCGCCTAGCTTTTAGGAGCCCCAGACTAGATCTGAAAATTCCTTAAGGGACTGTCAAGGGTTAAATGATTGGCGGCCTGTGCAGAAATTACTACCTCTCAACAGGTGCCACTGGTTTGATTGGCTGGGAGCCCCAGCTGGTGCAGTTAGGATGCTCAGGTGAACTCTGCCTGACTCCCATCCTTAAGGTGCATCTGGCCCTGCAGGCGTTGGGCCAGGTTGGGTGGGTCTGAACTGTCCAGGTCCGAAGGCTCGTAAGGATGACAGGAAGGAGTTAGACTTTATCCGGAAATATTAATGCTCTCCTTTCTGAGCCAGAGCCCACGTAAAGGAACTCATTACAAAAATTAACTTCCTCACCTCTGATGCCAAGGGCCTGAAAAGTGCGGCCTCTGGGGGTGGGGGCGCTTTAACCAGGGTCCCCGAGCCTCCAGAGGCCCCAGCATGTATGGAAAGGTTCATTTCATCTCCTCGCAAAAGGTTTGGGTGTGGCCCCGACGGAAAGGATGGGGTGAGCCAGGTGCCATCAGCCCCAGTCTTTTGGGCCCCCGCGGTTCTCCTTGTCTGTAACTACAAAGCCCCTCCTGGGGTACGCTGATTCACTGACCGAGGTTCTGGGGTGGCGGGGGAGCCCCAGGTGAAAGCCGAAGCCACCCCGCCCACCCGAGCAGGCCTTCCCCAGAGCAGACCCGCTGCGAGGGCGGCAGTTAGTCTCTGCTACTCAGAGTGACGCCCACCGCCTGGAAGCTGTGGAAGACCGGAGGCTGGAGCCCCGAGCTCGCTAGTCTTCGCCCAGGACCCGCCCCCGCACGCTAAGGTACCGCCTCCTGATCCCGCCCCCCGGATCAAAGGCCCGCCTACTGCCTCTGACCCCGCACCGAGGGCTCGCCCTTGGTCCCGCCCCGGCTCCGCCCCCGCGCGCCGAGGGCCCGCCCCGGCTCCGCCCCCGCCCGCCATGACCACGCCTCCATGCCGAGGGCCCTCCTCACGGTCCCGCCCCACC